ATGTCACCCGACCATGAAAACTTTCATTTCTTCTAATTCATATTGAGCAACTCGTATTTGGACTATATGAACATTTATATTACGTCCTCTAGCTGAAGCACTCAGGCGTTATTCAAGCTATTGATTTGTGGTCCAATTAAATTGTCAAAATACATATCTATAGATGAAATTATGCAAAAGCCTAACCCTGTATATGAGAATCACTATATCACCAAATTAGTTACTAGAAAATACTTCTATGAAATATTAAATACATCATGAACTCACAACGGAGTCAAGAGTTTGCGAAACATTTTGTACCAACAAGGAATTTCCTCAAAACAAGCGATTTTCGGCATACGTAATTTTCGTTACCAATATCGGTGAAATATTTTTGCCATGACAACTTCAACTAACTTCGTGGAACTCCAAACTCCGCGCTCCCTCACATAATACCTCTACATGACTGGATTGGAATTCCTCACACGTTCGTGCATATTTTCCGGGACCTCTGTTCTCCGTAGGATGAAAAAATATATAGGAGATTATTTTGGATTATTCAAACTGGAAGGGTAGGATCGGGCGAGCGCATTACATGAAATGAAAAAAGTGTTGCAGGTTTCTTTTCTGTCTGATTCGGATTATATCGATCTAATGACTTTGACAAATATCCAGTTCCCAGGAAGCACGAAGTGATTCTATGTGGGCTCCTAGAATATTCTCGTGAAACATTTGAATATTCTCGTGAAACATTTAAGGTCAACATTGAGTAAAATTGATCCGATTTTTGAATTTTACGAAGGTTAAAATAGTAGGTAGTATAATAGCAGATGATAGCAGATGTATAAAAACTTGCATGCATATGAGAAAGTATATAGGTGATATTGGACATTAAGGTATATCGAATTGAAAAATATCCTCTATTGATTCAGATGTAGATACATCTGGAACCCATACATTCCAAGTTTAAATATCGAAACTGATACCAAGTGTTCGCAAATAAATGAAAAATTTACTTTGAGAGAGGAAGAGAGAGAAAGAGAATAATTTAGGCCATATTTCTCTCTCATTATATGATCATTCCATGTGATGAAAGTATTTGATACAGCCATTCATTATTTGAAATCATCACAAACACATTTTTCAATAATCAAAATAATCACCTCTCAAGAACGCCAATTCTCGATGACAAGAGCGTCGATATGGAGGAAGGGGGTGATGGGGTAATTAGCCACCAAGAATAATAATTTGTAAGATTTGTAATAGAAATTATATAGACGTTTATATCTGTTTAGTTTGTGATTTGATTGTTCAAAGAAGTTTGGTTTTGTTTCTAATTCTGATATATATTATTTATGGCTCTATTAGGTCTATTAGTGTTTTATTGCTCAGAAACCAATGAAATATTACTACATTATAATTGGAAATAAGAAGCAACTTCCACATTAGGAGTGTACTGAAACATAAGGCACCTTTGTGGCATAAATGAGCCTTCTAGAATTACCAAATTATGATTTTTCATACTAGGGAACCTAGTTTGATTCGCCCAATTTTCGATTCACCCAAATTTCGATTAACCCAAATTTCGAACCGGCCAAATTTCGATTTCCCCACATTTCTATTGTTGAAAGATGAACTTTCTTTCCTTCATTTGGACCAAAATATGTTAGATTATTTGAAAACAGTTTTTTCTTCAGATCTTTCAAGTAACTTTCAGAAATTTTATTTTCCAGGCAGGTTCATTCAGGCCGAATAATGTTAGATTGTTTAGGAAAAAAGTAAAGTGAATTTCCGAAAAATATACTTCATATGAAGAAATTTCTAATATAACGAGTTAGGTCAGATACTTAAGAAAATGCAGTCTCCTACTTAATGCAGAAAAGGATATTTTTCAAGTCAAATCAATACATATAGGGTGTTCCTTTTATAAAATCGAGTAGCATCAGGCCGCTTTTTCTGAACGAACAGTATGAGTGAATTTGCGTTTTGTTCCGATGAATACCGACTTATTAAAATCTGGGACTGATGAAACAATAGAAATCCAGCCGATTTATATCTATCGAAAGGGATATTAAGCAAAAAAGTTGATTAGATGAGAGATATAAGGTTACAAAAACAAATGGAAAAGCGGAGCATGATGCGAATCCCAGCGATTCATGTTTGATTAAACTCCGTTACAGAGCTTCACATTAATTAAAAACAAGTAATAGCCAGTGCCGTATATGATATTCATTATAGCCAATATCGATGTTTATGTCATGGAAATCAAACAAGCTTTGATAGAAGGTACCTAAATAGCATCGAGAAAAGTCAGATCACAGAAAAAAATTGAGAGGAAAATGCTACTATATTATTGTAGTTTAATCTATTTGATAATAAAGGTATATTTATAGTCCATCATAGTAGTCGAAAATATATTATTCACTAAATGTTTATAGCAATTTCATTATAGTGATGTTCGCCATTTGTGTAGAGCTATTCACCATAGTTTATAGTCGGAAGTAAATCTGAAAGAATCATATAACCTCGCATATGAATATATAGTAATTTTCACTTCATCTTATACAGTTGAAAGCAATTCGTACACAGTAAAAATATCCATAATTTCTTCAACTGAAACTATTGGAATTATTATTATAGAAACATAGTAAATCGAGATGATGTTTTTTGGATTATTTCTATATTGTTGGGTAATTTTTCGCAGAACGTTTTTTATATAGTTTCTGTAGTAACCAATACATAGATATTTTTGTAACCATTGCCATAATTTTAGTTCTAAAACAAGTCCACAGTCCACGTGAAATGAAGACGCTGACGAGTCGGCGCTCGCTCATGGACCAGTTTTTTGGTATTCCAAGTACAGGGCGGTTGTTTTCTTATGAGTTTTTTTTTAATTACTGTTTATTCACCAGAGACAAAATTTATCTTATCACCATAAGAAATATTTCGTTATATCGGAGCCTGAACCACACATTATTACTAATGATTATTAGTCGATGGCCTGGTTCAAACCGTGAAAATGGCGAACTACCGATTCTGTTTCCGCATGGAAGAATTTTTGAGATAGCAGGAAAGGCAGGGATTCGGAATCCTGAGGCACAAACTTCGAAGTTGGTATCGAAATTGATCCAAATCCTATATATCCATGGATATTAAGAGATAGATGAAATAATATGTTTGTTCGGAAGACTACGTGTGAAAATTATGCTCTCAAACGCAGTGTTCTGTGCAATAAACGGTTTCAGAAAAAAACTTTTTTTTCTCGAATTTCAACACACTGAGTTAATAGCAACTTTTTTTCATGTTTTTGAACGAGCTATCACATCCTGAAGTCCTGCGCATAAATTATGAAACAACCTCTATGTTATATGTCAGCAGGCCAGGCCAGGAACCCGCGTGGTAAAAGCGTCAGTATTCTATTCACGTTGGATTGTTTTTTGAAGACTTCTGAGGGTTGCTTGTAAGGGGGGAACCGAATGATGGACAAGAACAATAATTTTAGAACAATTTCAGGAAAATTTCAGAACAATCCGCGCAGAGTCACATATTGGAGACTGCTGACCAAGGCAAGATTTTAAACATGACCACCTGAGTTTGGAAATGGATCGTCCATTAGTTGTTGAAACAGAATCAATAATAGTAATTACGTCAATGATGCTATTGCGGTCTGATTTCCAACTTCTATCAATTGATGCTGTTAATCATATAAGAAAATATCGAATTATTATATTTATTCCGATTTCATCAATGAAAGCAAACATATGTTGTTAACATGAATCATGACAATGCATGGTGCTTTCCATTTCATTTTCATTTATAGAATAACCAATGCTGTGATGGGTGCGATAATTTCACATTTATTCTCTGCTTGCAGTAGTTGTGAAAAAAAACGAAATATACAGGGATGTCCTAAAATTTGCTGAAACACAGAGCTGCCACGTGTAATAGAGTACAATAGATAGATAGATAGATAGAATAGATTTATATACCAAAATGTACCGTTTGTCCGTGAGAAAAGAGTTTTAAGTTTACATAAAAAATTACTGGTGCCTTTCCATTTTTATATGTCTAATTGTCCTTTGCATTGATGAAGGTGGCCGCCATATTGAACATTCAAGATAAAGAATGCACTATCTTTGTTCCCACTGTCAACTAAATGTTTTATCAAAATATTATTAAACTTGGACTGGAAATATCTGGTGAGCATTATTGAATAATACATTTTTTTCGTTCATAAATATGGGGACTACGGAGTTTTTACAAGAGTAACAAAATGAAGATAATTGATATGACTTCTCGTTTGAAAAAAATGAAAAGCGTATTACCCCTCTATTCTGAAAAAATATGCAAGGAGGCGAGGGTAGTTTCAATCCTTCTATTTCTCTCGGGTTTCTTCAAGTAGTGCAAGGTCAGAAATACTCTTCAATGCACTTGTCAAATTTCATTGAATTTTTATCACTCATTTCGGAACAGCGAACAAACATGTGTTTTTTTATGTAAACTTTGAACTCTTCTCACGGACAAACAGTAGACTTTGATATATGTATAAATTGGATCCAATCGACTCATGTTGAGCTCTGTTACACGTGGTAGCTCTATGTCTCAGCAGTTTAGGGACACCAATAAACCTTACTCCGTGCCTGATACTGAACCTAGATTTAATGAATCTCACATCTTCGGTTCAACTTTGAATGGTGCAAATAGGCGAAATGGAAATTAATGAAGTTTTGAGTATCGTTTAAGTAATAACTACTACAGTTTTCCAACCACTAATATGAAATATAATGTCTGCGCCACTGGAACGGCTAATGCAATTAATAAGGCACTATTTGGCGATAACCGGTGAATCGGCCAAGCATGAATCCACATGAAAATCTATCGAACTGGACGAAGATGCATATTAGTGAAAGCGCGAATACCCAAGATATTCGCAATAGAAGGAAGGGAAAATAATAAAATGCACCTATATAATATGGGGCATGAATATCGAAAAATCATTCCGTGTTCTTTGTTTGTGCAAAATGCAACTTTTGCAGGTAAGAAGATATAGAACATATGGTAGTGTCGAGGGTAGTATACCATTATTCAGTTCAAAGCACCTTATTCAAATATAGTGTTCTGGAGTCTGAAGTCAATAAGAGTTCATTAGTTGCTGGGTGATGCTAGCGATGAAATGTGGTGATTTAATTATTGGCCAATTCGAATTGGTCAGCTATAACATTGACCTTTAATGACATCACACGTTTCATCGCTAGGATCATCGAAGCCAAATTCGTTCAGCAATAAAACCAGCTTGGCAGCACTATTTTCTGAACCATCACATCACAGGGTTCGATAGTATAATTGCTAGTATGCATTGGTCTATATCACAATGGTAACCCAAGATCGAATCCTCATTTTTCTTTTTTATAAACATATTTATCTGGAAGAAAATATGTATTTAGATCGAGTTCTGTTGTTGGGTTGTGACATAACCCAACGTTAGGAAGCGTTAGCATTAAACCTTCTCTTAGGCTTTCAAAGACCTTCTTCCTATTTTTAAATCGTATTTTCGACCTCACTACTTGTCCATGAAAATTTGATCGTTCAATGATTGATTGATTGATCTCTCGGATTTCATTCAGGGATAAATTGATGTATAAAATAGACCCTCACCGATTGAATTCCTGCGACTATTCCATCAGATGATATTTACAGCAGAGGGTAGTGACTTCACGATAATGACAAGTTATAAAGTGTCACTACCAGAAACTTAGTATATTCGCATTTATTTTACGCAGCTGCCCCTGTTTCGTTTTTTACATAATTGGCTTCTTTTCGTTAATTCCTTGATCGATTCAATTGTGATTCTATCACAATATATGTCTACCTCAATTTTTCTCATGTGTCTCATCTTCATTAATTGCTTCTATTTTTCTTCCTAGGTGGTATCTTAGACGACAGTGTCTTGTCTAAATAGGCAGAAATCGCATGTTATTCCTATTTGATTATACAGGGTGATCCAGGGTTGATGGCCTATTAGAAGTATCTGGAGAACGAAAAGACAAAACATTCTGAAAATTGGGATTCTCCGATAATTGAACATTCTCTATCCCTTTGAAATATTTTCATCGATACAGTGTTGCCACTTCTATCAGAAACAACTAGCAACTTTATGGAACACCCTGTATTTTATTGCATTTTTAGATTCCTTCTGAAGAGCTGATTTCATCAATGCATCACACTTGGGGTCTGGCAGGAGTGATTACAGAGATATAGGGTGTTCAAAATCAAAATTTCTCAATTTTAAGATTTTTTTTTTTTCGAAACTATTCATTATCGATTAAAACGGCTTACATGTCTCTATCTCAACTTTTGATTGACTATCTACTGGAATTTGATTGAAAAAATACAGGGTGCTTCAAGATTCAGAATTCTGATCACCCTGTATCTGTTCCAATTAGATGTCAGTAGATAGTGAATCGAAAGTTAAGATAGGGACATGTAAGCAGTTTTGATCAATAATGAATAGTTTCGACACAAAAAAATCTTGAAATTGAAAAATCTCGATTTTGAACACCCTATATCTATGTAATCATTCCTGCTAGACCCCAAGTGTGATGCATTGATGAAATCAGCTTTTCAGGGAGAATCTAGAAATGCAATAAAATACAGGGTGCTCTATTTAAAATAACGAAGTTGCTAGTTGTTTCTGATAGAAGTGGCAACACTGTATCGATGAAAATATTTTAGACGGATAGAGAATGTTCAATTATCAGAGCATCCCACTTTTCAGAATGTTCTGTCTTTTCGTTCTCCAGATACTTCTAATAGGCCATCCACCGTGGATCAGCCTGTATAGTATCTGCTTGGATCACTGCCTGTTATTCCAATTAAATTTCAGAATCTGCTTGGATCTTGATGCGTAGCATGTGTCAATCCTGGTGAATCAGACCAGTACGTGATATCAAAGTATGATTCTGGTATAAACACAGATTTGGTTTCCTCTTTTGGCAAGGGTATGAGCTTCCTCTAGGGACTCTAAGCAGTTCTGATGTCATCATGGATACGGCCGTTTTGAGCATGCTTAAAGTATTTACACTCCACAAACTTGTGCATTCTTTTCCAGATATTGTTTGCCTTAGTCTCGATAACCTCCGCAGCACTAGCCGGAGACATAGGCGGAGGACACTTCGGAGGAGGAAGCCTAGGTAGTCATGGAGGGGAAAGCCTAGGATATGCAGGGTACGGTGGGAGCTATGGAGGAGGTTACGGAGGTGGTTACGGAGGTGGTTACGGAGGTGGTTACGGAGGTGGATATGGCAGCGGCTATGGTGGCGGCGGTGTCAACGTACAAACAATCACCCAACAAATTCCGGTACCCGTTCCACAGCCTTATCCAGTCACTGTCAACCGACCAGTGCCCGTTAGAGTTCCACAGCCTTATCCTGTAGTGGTGAACAGGCCAGTCCAGGTACCAGTACCGCAGCCCTATCCAGTTGAAGTTCCTAGACCGGTTCCAGTGACTGTCACGAGACCGGTTCCATATCCAGTACCCCATCCGGTGCAAGTACCAGTGCAAGTTCCCGTTCAGGTAAGAACGTATAATTGTAGTTGCAAACGTTGTCAACATCTGCTCCTTCGAAACCTATACAAAATAAGAGCAATACTGTCTGACGACCCAGATTTCACCGAATCTATTTCCATAAATAGATAGTATCACCAGAGATTTCAACCTGTAGTAATAGCGATATAGTATTCAATCTCTTCAATTAATTTGATCTTGGTTTTCCACCTCGTTATCATAGATGTTTGTTAGGCATTCGTTGTACCAGATTTCGGTTTTATTTTGCCTAGTTGGATTATGGATGCAGTTTTCCCGATGCCTAGTACCTACCAGACTGTGGCATTTTGTGTAATCATTCATTTATTTATTCATTCATTCTGGTATGGACAAGTTTATATCCAGAGTCACTTTCGCCGAATACAACGGCCAGAAGGTGACCGTTTGTGTATTCCTTCAGCAATTCATTCTTGTGTGCACAAATCTATTCCCAGAGACATATTCATCAATCCTGATATTCTCATCATCACGTGAATCTTCGGAGGAGCGGTTCAGATACAATTATATGATGGACGCTCTTCGCTGTCCCTACATTCAACAATTGACAGCTGTCCTATGTGTCATCAGTGGGGTCAAATTATCGAATGATAGTGATTCATTGGTGTTTCCAAGAATACAGCTTTTGTCTTGTAATGTTTTTTTTTATCGCTTGGAGCGCACTAAAGGAAATCCCTGTAATGTTCAAAGAACATCGTGCTTTCCTAGGGAGGATAGGGACAGGAGGTAGGTATTGGAATTTTTTTTTGAACTTTTGGAGATTATATGTTGTTGGGAATACTTCCACAGGTAATGAATTCCAGAGCCTAGCCGTTCTATGGATGAAGGAGTCTTGATAAAGTGCTGTTCGACATCTTTCGAGGTTGACAACGAAAGGATGTGCTGACTGGGCTTGTCTAGTTCGTCTGATTGGTATTGCTAGTGAAGGGATGATAGCAGAGATTTCCGAAGAACATTTCCCGTGGAAGTATCGATAGAAAAGTGAAAGGTCGCCGACCTTTCTACGGTGTTCCAATGATGTCAAAGAGTGAGTGAGTGTGGCGTCACCCACCAGGCGAATGGCTCTTCTCTGGATGGAATCTAAGAGCATCAGCGTATGTTTTGGTGCTGAACCCCATATGTGGGAACAGTATTCTAGAACAGGCCGTATCTGCGCTTTGTAGATCATGAGAAGCTGTTGAGGTGTAAAGTAGCTTTTCGCACAGAACAAGAATCCGAGTTTTTGTGAAGCAGCTTTGGCGATGGATCTGACATGATTATCCCATGAAAGAGTGTTGCTGATGGAAATACCGAGCATAGATATGGTGGGCTTGGTGGGGATGTTGGAGCCAGACATTACAATATCAGGCATACTGAGTTCCGCCTTTCTAGAGAAAATGCAGGCTTGAGTTTTGGTGGCGTTGAATTCAACTAGGTTGTTTGTTCCCCAGGCTGTGATTTCAGCAAGATCTTCATTGACAGCATTGACCTGCCTGCGCCGTGAGTTTTAGGTTCCTGGGAAGAAATGGGAATTCTGGAAGAGAACGCAGTATGGAGGGTACTATCATCTGCAAAGCTGTGGATGGGGCAAGTTGTTACTCCCAACAGATCATTGATCTGAAGCAGGAATAATGTTGGTGCCAAAATTGATCCTTGTGGAACGCCGGAATTGATGCCAATGGTATCAGACGATACACCGTCCACCACCACGTGAATCGATCTGCCTGAAAGAAAACTCGATAAGAGATGGCATAGCTGAGGTGGTAAGCCGTATGATGGTAGTTTGTGGAGGAGTCCTTCGTGCCAAACACGGTCGAATGCTTTCGATATGTCCAACGCGACAGCTAGAGATTCCCCGTGTTTTTCTATTGAAGATTGCCATAAATGGGTGACGTAGGCAAGTAGATCTCCAGTAGATCTTCGGTGGCGAAAGCCGTATTGTCTATCATTGATGATTCCTGAGCTCTCCAGATATTTGATAAGCTCAATATTGATGGCTTTCTCCATCACTTTGGAAATTACTGATAACAGGGCAATGGGCCTGTAGTTGTTGGGCAGGTTCTTGTTCCCTTTTTTGGGGATTGGTTGGACTCTAGCTGTCTTCCAGCATGATGGAAAAATACTCGACCTGTACGAGATGGTAAACAACTTGCAGAGAATCGGTGTTAATTCTGGTGCACATTTTTTGAGGATAATGGGTGGAATTCCATCAGGACCGTTAGCCTTATTCGTTTTGAGACCAAGCAAAATTCGTCTGATAGTGCGTTGACGGAAGACGATTTCGGGCATTCGATTCTCAACGGGTGGAATGTCTGGCGGAAGTTTTCCTTGGGAATCTAAAGTAGAGTTTGCTGCGAACATCTCTGCAAAAATATTTGCTTTCTCCTGCGATGTTGTTGCTAATGTGCCGTCGGATTTGGACAGTGGTGGAAATGAGCTATTAGTGAAATTTCTTCCGACCGCTTTAGCAAGGGACCAAAACGAACGGGAGCCGTTGGGGCAATCTATGAGTTTCGATCTTATCTTGGCATTGTATGTTTCTTTCGAAGCATCTATTGTTTGGCTGCAGTTATTCCTGGCATCAACGTATTCTGCTCTAGTCGCGAGCTTAGGGTTTTTGCGCCAGCGATGGTAGGCTGTTTGTTTCAACAGTTCTAGAACAGTTTTTGTTGAACCAGGGTTTCGAAGGTGATGATCTTTTCGAAATGTGATTCAAGTGCGCTCGCAAGACAAGTGCGCCCGCATGATTGTTCCTCTACTTTCTAATTTCACTTACAGGTACCAGTACCTCAGCCCTACCCAGTGACTATACCCCAACCTTATCCAGTAAGAGTGCCACAGACCGTGGTGGTACCAGTTCCACAACCAATTAGTGCAGGCGGAGGATTCGACGGAGGTGCCTATGGAGGGGGATCATTTGGAGGAGGATTATATGGGGGTGGATTCAAAGGAGGTTTCGGAGGATATGCTCTCGGAGGAGGAGGAGGAGGTTATGGGCTAGGTGGAGATTATGGCAAGGGTGGATACAGCTACAGCAACGTGCAAGTTGGTGGGCACAACTACGGCAGCAGCTCCAAGCATTAAGTAACACAGGAAAAAATGCATGATACATGAAGGGTGTCTCAACGAGAAGTTGCCAGTGGAAATTCATAGCAGATGTCAAGTGCACACTGTTCCATTTGGAAATTCGATATTACACCAGTTAGTAAGAGTTATTCATCGAAACAACTCAACCCCAAATTGAGCATGTTATATTTTTCCTGGCCCTCTGGCACCTGGCAGCATTCATTGTAGAAGAAGCTTTCAAAATTACCCGAATTTCACTTGTCACAATCAGTTTCAAAATGAGTTATCATTGCTTCAATACATTGGATGTAATTGCTGCTTGACAATATTAGTTTTCAAAAAATACCGCAAAGACAGCAATTTCAAATCGGCAACCCCTTGTCGTGACTTTCTTCATGAATATTTCTTGAAATAATTTCTTCCATTTTCTTTCTTTACTGTTGGTGTGTATATGCATGATTGAATTGATCTCAAGATGTCTTTCTACAGTTGAGGCAAGAATAGCTTAACATTATATTTTATAAAATCACGTTGACTCGTAGGCAGTGGGAGTGGTGCACACGTTTTCAAATGGATTCATGAATTATTTTTCTCTCCATTTATAAATATTTATTCCGCTCCAAATAACTTCAAAGCGGAATATAAATATTGCAGGATTTCGTCTTCTCGGCGATTCCGCAGGAAACTCCTTAGATTTTCGACTGACTACTTACTCGACTGAATATATATTTCAGAAGTTGTTGCGTGATGCTAGTTCGATTTTCTGTGATGTTTTCTATATCTCATTCAACAAGAACGATTTGTGAATCATAATGAGTCGCTACTTTGTGAATTCACATATCTTATTTTCCAATAATCAGCACTATTGATTGTAAATTGCATTTCCATATTGAATATTTCATGATAGTATATCTAAGAACTATGATAAAAATATATGTATATCGATTTCTCAACATCGTAGTTATTTATTTCCTCATCCACAGATTCATGTTCGAAAAAAGTATCACATCTTTTGAAGAAAACGCGTCATATTATGTATAACGATAGGATAAGAGTTGAACAAAATGCATTTCCTAACTAGTGAAGCACAATATTTTTTCGAACTCTGATAAGAGACTCGTTAGAACAGGAATAATTACCAGTTTTACATGAGTTCTATCGATAGAGGGGCCAGGTAGCCGAGCGGACAGAGTTTCTATATTCTAATCCGCATACGCTTGCCGGTCGTGGGTTTGATTCCCATCGACTGCAGAAATTTTTCTGATGGCCCAAGAAAGTGTTTGGGATCACACGTTAAAAGGTAAGGCCCCCGTCATTCCTTGCTCGCACAAGACTCTCGAAGACTTCTGAGGGTTGCTCGTAAGGGGGCAACCGAATGACGGATAGAACAATTTTAGAACAATTCAGATTATGTACAAAATTTAGTATAGGCATGTATAGGCAAGTTGACTTCGCCCGTCACTTTGAAGAATCAGTCAAACAATAATATGGTCACAAGTCGGTGCCGAAATTCAAGAAATAGACTCGATTGATATTTTCATTAGTACAAAATGACAGATTTTCCGAGTGATATTGCTGAAGCAGCACAAAACGCAATACTCTCATCGTCCATCCATATTTTCATTGCGTAACTAGTGTTTAAATAGTATATTATGTAACAAGTGTTATAAACGTCCTTTTAGTAACGAGTATTTTAAGCACGAGCGGAGCAGAGCGGAGCGAGTGTTCAATAAACGAGTGTCTAGAAAAGTTTATAAACGCGTTACATACTATGATTTATCTACGAACTCCGAAAATTACATTAACATACCTGCTATTCCTGCTAACCTACAAAATAATTCGAATGGAATGGAAATGGAGAACATAATACATGCAAATGCATGAGTTTATATAAACGCCTTACATACTATGATTTTTCTACGAAATCCGAAAATTACATTAACATACCTGCAATTCCAGCTAACCTACAAAATAATTCGAGAGGAATGGGAATTGGGAACATAATACATGCAACTGCATGCAACCAGCGAGACACGTATAAGTGATATTGGTTGTAGATGTGTCCAGTCCATTGCTTACTAACCTTCGTTTCACGTTTATTGTCATGTTTAGCGCAGAATAAATGAATCAAAGATGGATGCTTCATTTTTACACTTCTTGGAGATATGCAAGCACCAGAACATTCTCTTCGATTTCACTTTCGTCTACATTTCTCATATATTTTTAATGAAGAATTCTGATACAAACGAATATTGTTTGAATAATCCTGATACAAAATTTGAAAATAACAGTTGATACAATTATTGACAGGCCAGACATGTCTCAAATCACTGAAGCTGTGTTTAATGATCTGTGTTGCCATGATAATGTGTTTAAGAAATCGTGTTGCCATGGTAACGTGTTTAATATTTTGAATAAATCACAATTCGACAATCCGATATTAGTCGATCATTTAGCATGGTGCATATCCGTACGCTAAATGCCATTTTAGTTATGTGAGTAGAAAATAGTTACTTATGTACCAAGTGCGTTATATTGTAGATTCCAACACCCGGAGGGTAACATTCCCCTTAGAGCCTTTGGCCCGAGGGATGAATAATGCCCGATGCCTCGTGGTGCAAACAAGATTTTATGTTTCACGAAAAAATTATCTCAAACGACGTTTGTTCAGTCAGCACATCCTTTCGTTGTCAACCTCGAAAGATGTCGAACAGCACTTTATCAAGACTCCTTCATCCATAGAACGGCTAGGCTCTGGAATTCATTGCCTGTGGAAGTGTTCCCAACAACATATAATCTCCAAAAGTTCAAAAAAATTCCAATACCCACCTCCTGTCCCTATCCTCCCTAGGAACGCACGATGTTCTTTGAACATTATAGGGATTCCCTCTCGTGCGCTCCAAGCGATGAAAAAAAAAAAAATCTTCTTGGAATTCTTCCTCTCTAGGAAGTTGCATGTCAACATAGGCTACCATTTGAGATTATTTTGAAACATACAGGATGTCCCCAAAAATCACAAAACACTGAAGTTGAACTTTTTTCAATCGAACACCCTATATATTATTTCATTTTGAGATTCTCCCTGGTACCCTGATTTCAACAATCCATCATACTTGGGGTCTAGCAGTTATAATTACTGAGATATAGGGTGTGAGAAATCGAGATTTTCCAAGTTCAAGAATTTTTTGTGTCTAAACCATTCATAATTGGTCAAAACGGCTCACATGTCCCTATCTCAACTTTCGATCAACTATCTACTGACATTTAATTGAAACAGTGCAGAATTCAGAATCTTGATCACCCGGTATATGTCCCAATTAAATATCAGTAGATAGTTAAGTTGAGATAGGGACATCTAAGCCGTTTTGACCAATTATGAATAGTTTCGACACAAAAAATTCTTGAACTTGGAAAATCTCGATTTTTCACACCCTATATTTCAGTAATTATAACTGCTAGACCCCAAGTATGATGGGTCGTTGAAATCAGCTCATCAGGGAAAACCTCAAAATGAAATAATATATAGGGTGTTCGATAGAAAAAAGTTCAACTTCAGTGTTTTATGGTTTTTGGGGACACCCTGTATGTTTCGAAATAATTTTAAATGGTAGCCTATGTTGACATGCAACTTCCTAGAGAGGAAGAATTCCAAGAAGATAAGTGGTTAGCCTTCTAGAGACCGAGGCGTTACTGGTGGCCCACCCTGTATAGTATTTCCCTACGGCCACTATAGAAAGTAGGCAAGAGCACACGAGATACAGCCTCAGTAAGTAGCTCTTTACGCACAGTAAACACATCGCACAGTGTTCGTTTATTCCGCCAGTATAGGTATGTCATGATCGCGTAGTCTCCGTCATCAGCGGATGACATAACTGTCAAGAATTATAATTCGGACTGTTTGTCCAAACTTTTTTGATGTACTATATAGCAGTAGGTAAAGTAGTACGTAATTCGCGTTGTAAAGCAATTACGCACTCGCCGCTCCGCGACTACGTGCGTAACTTTTCCATTCGTGCGTGATATGCTTACACATATTACGTAATATACTATTACTGCGTTCTGGTCGACAACTGAGCACCATATACGTATTAATAATCAATACGGATAATCTCTATCTGTTTCCATAGCGAAACATGAAGCCTATTTTTGAAGACAAATGACTATCCATAAGGAAAAGTTTCGAAACGATCAGACACATACTGCTTTGATTGAAAGGCTAGTAAACGTCATTGTCCACCGAAACGCATGTCTTTGATGACTACTATAATAGCGCATGGCGCATGCGTATCATGCCACCAAATCCTTATGAATATTCATTTGTTTCATATTTTTGGCTTCATCCTGGCACCCGTTATGATCCGTATTGTTTATTAATACGTATATGCTGAGCACAAGTGAGCTTCTATGCAGTTGCTATGGAAATATTGAAGAAGTTGCTAAGGGTTGTTTATTTAATGAAACGATGGTGCATTTTTGTAAGAAATGACAAGCTTGTTAGTGAAGGAAACGTGTGTATAATCTCTGAGGAAACTAAAAAGGGTAGTGCTCATAATAATTATGGAGATCCCACAGAATGTGACGCTCAAAGCTGAAAAAGCGTTAGGAAATTCACTGCCTGTGAAATCCACATACTTATACGAGGAGTATGCCCATTGTTTGAAATGGAAAGATGAAAACAGCGTGAATACCGTAAATGAAACTGTCTTAATGGCATACTTCCAGTAACTGGTGAGTTTATCTCATGAAAAATATTAATATTTCAAATATTTTCTTACATTATTTTAGTATGAAAAATATATTGCAAATACCTACTCTATGGACCGAATACTCACAGCTGAAATCAACATTGATTATCAATGAAAACATTGATATATCAGCATTCAGTCAACTGATGGCCTTTCTGAAAGTTAGATCAAAAGGATACATTCCTGAAAAATCAAAGGTGTTGGGAGGTGCATAAGTATTAATTTTCATGAGAAAAGCTCCAAATGATACTTTTCTTCAACATAAAGTTGTTCTGGTAATAGGTGTATTTGAAATGGTCAAAATGACAATTGATGACATTGAAGACAGAGGAGCCGTTTTACCGATCAGGGTACCAGAAAACAAGACCTGCACCTCAAAAAATTCTACGATTGTTGAAGAAATCGAAATAGAAGCCTTGAACTTAGTTAAAAAGTACATTGCACTACGACCAAAAAGATGTTAACAAAGTAGGTTAATTTCAACATACAAAAATAATAAGTGCATTGATTTACCTGTGGGTGAAACAAATATAGGGAGTGTTCACTCTATCATAGCAAAATACCTTAATTTAGAAAACCCGAAAGTTTACACGCCGAACGTCGTCAACGCTTCTTGTTCAAGGTGGTGCTTCCTTCGAAACACTAACATTACATGGAAAATGGAAGAGTAGTACGGTAGCGGAAAGCTATATTGATG